AGCTGAAGTCTTTTTTTTTTCTTTTTTTAAAGCAGGACTATTTTACAAGGTTATTGCATAGGGTATTTGCATGGGTATTTATCTTGCAAATCTAAAGAATGTATTAACATATTTCAAAACATTTAATTAAATTACTAATATATTTTTTTTGTCTTACTTAAGGTCATTGGGTGAGTGGGGCGAGGCCCTTGCGCCCTTATTGGCTAGCCGCCACTGGTGCGAACCTGTAACGGTCAGGGTCACAATCAGGCCAATTAGACATTAATGAATGGAAGTCAATAAAAAGCCCCTGAAAGATAGAGACATGTGTGTGTGCATAAACATGGCCCAAAGATGTAGGGTGTAATTGTGTGTGTTCTTCATAGATACAAGGCAGAGCGATATGAATAATTAAATGAAGATAAATGACCTGAACCACTGCGTCTGTGTAATGAGGGTCCTCTCAGGGCTCTACTCTGCTCACTCGGATTAGTAATTATTCCGAGTACTTTATCCTTTCTGCCAATCTCTTTCATAAGGTGTGTCATATCGGCTGCTCTGTGAGCATGTATCAGTGCCTCAACATACAGTTTTAATGCTGCTGATGAAATTCTTCTTTGACTTTCTTCTTCAACAATCTATGCAATGATATCCTCTACAGTCATTTTCTGCATCTTGTCAATCTTATTTTGCTTGGTCTGCAGGATGTCGCTGGAAAGGTGTTGGATCGGTGGGCCATCATGACCTTTGAGGAGGAGATTGCAACACTGCAGCAGTTTCTGCGTTTTGGTGAAACCAAATCAATCGTTGAGCTCATGGCCTTACAGGACAAGGAGGGGCAGGCGGTGTTGGTTCCCAGCACCCGGACAAACTCGGACATCCGCACCTTCATCGAGCGAAACACTCCTCGCTCCACTGCCAACATCTCCACAGCCAAGGTTGAAAAGATTAGCGGCAACAGCATTCATCACTTTGAGAACTTCATCAACAGCATGGCCTTCATGCTTCCATTCCAGCTGTTGGGCTCTGTTCCTGCGCCATTTTTAGGCTCACCACCAGGGGCGATGCACCATCAGAACCAGCAGCACCCGCAGCCATGCGGTGCTTCAATTGAGCAGCACACCCAAAGCAAAGATGAAGCGAGGGACAATCTTTGTAGGGACAACCCCCTCTACCTTTCAAATCCTTCAGAGAGCAGCCTGCTTGGCTCCAACTCTGATTTGGTTCAGGGAGGAGAAAGAACAATGGACACACACACCACTACCACCAAGGTTGAAGCTGAGGATTTCTCCACCAGTGACAACTACTCAGATGGATCCTCCACACCATGCACACCCTCTATAACGTCTGATGTCACACAGATGTCCCCAGAGGCGAAGCTGCGCTGCCTGGATAGGAACAGAGGCAGCTCTGGAGGCATCTCAGGGGGCGGAGCCTCTCTGAAGAAGGGCCGTGTGTTTTGCAACGCTTGTGAGAAAACATTTTATGACAAAGGTACGCTGAAAATCCATTACAATGCTGTTCATTTGAAGATTAAACACAAGTGTACCATTGAGGGCTGCAACATGGTGTTCAGCTCGCTGCGCAGTCGCAACAGACACAGCGCCAACCCAAACCCCCGGCTACACATGCCCATGAACCGAAACAACAGAGACAAAGACTCACGGGGAAACTTGTCGGCAGATGAAGGTTCACAAGGAGAAAAGAGAGCTGAATTTAGCAATAGGATTTCAATCTCCTCCTCAGAAAGCCATAAGTCAGCACCCAGCTACATGGTGAGCCATGTAGACACTGCTACAAAGCTTCACAGCAGTTCTTTCTCCAGCATGGGCCAGACCGGCATCCTTTTCCCAAACCTGAAAACAGTACAGCCTGTCTTGCCTTTCTACCGAAGCCTGGTAACACCAGCAGAACTTGCCAACACCCCAGGGACTCTACCTTCTCTTCCCATTTTATCCTCTTCTGTACCTGTTAAACCCATCACAGCACCTGAAGCCTGTATAACGGACCCAATACCAAAGAAAAAATCACGCAAGTCAAGTATGCCGATAAAAATAGAGAAGGAGATGATAGAGCAAGATGAGCATATTGGTGAGGGAAGCTGCAGTGAGGAGGAGGTTTCTTTGCAGTGTAGGGACAAAGATGACTGTGACAGCAACCAAGAGGAACAGTATATGTTTAATAAAAAACAGGAGAAGCCGACTGAGGCAGTAAATGATAATACAGACAAAGAAAAGGAAAGAGATGGTAGTACTCAGAGAGACCAAACCTTAGCTAGAAACTCAGTTGAAATGGACAATAAACATGACTCCACTGAGCAAAATGAAACAATCATCACAGTTTCACCATCTTCTTTAGAAATGAGACTCCCGGGTAGCCACAAAAACTCAGCTGATAAAGAATCCCTCCGCAGTGAAGAAAGAGCTGACTCAGAACATGGAGACCCATTACACACACATGACAGTGTCGCAGAGCAGCAATGGGATGAAGAAAGGCACCAGGTAACTAATGGCGGCAGTCTCCTGTTAGACGAGAAAGGAGACCTTGATAGGTGCTCAGAAGATCATGGGGTCTCAGGGTTGTCTCACCTAGACCCTGATGCTAACCTTCAACACCACTGTGAGATCTGCAGTAAAACCTTTAAGAATCCGTACAGTGTCAAGATCCACTACCAAAACATCCACTTGAAGGAGATGCACATGTGCGTGGTGGAGGGCTGCAATGCTGCCTTCCCATCCCGCAGGAGCCGAGACAGGTGAGGTGACCAAAAGGTTCGTTGATGTTCTAAGTGAAGATGTCTAATGGGTTCGGTTCATCCCTGTCCACTGTGTATTAAATTGATATCATTGGCCTCTGTGGTCTAAAAAGGAATGGTTCTGAAAGAGCCACCATGATGTTTCAACAATCAGCCAATAAATCTGACATAAATTCATGCTAAGCTATGTAAATGTGCTAAAATAAACTCATGAGGCTAAAAGCTTGAACTTTCAGAGGCTTATGCTTGTTTCTGATAAGTGAGGCCAAAAAAACACTTTACCTCTAGGGGCAGTAGACCAAAGAGGTTCTCCGTGATAAAGAGGGCAACATCAACAGGGACCCCATTTTTAACGACACCTACATACCAAATGGTCCTTTACTTCTCTAATGTTTACCAGAGGCTGGTCTCCACAACCTTAGAGAAAAACAGCTTTCATTTAGTTTAACAGCTGGTCTTACCAACTGAGACCGGTGAGATAGATTTATCCCACTTAGACCATGAGAGTCTAGCTGCATACCTGCACTTTCAGGACCCGTCGTTGCAGAACTGCACGGTCAGGTGCCGCACTGTCACAACCGGAAATTCATTCAAAGCCTTTCAAAATAAAAGAATTACTGAATACCTCAATACATGACCAGAAAAGACAATAACTTCTTTTGTTTTCCCAAAACACCGGAGAAAACAGTAGACACAAAACAAACTTTCAAATATATATTTATTTCATTTTCTTGGAAATGTTTTTATTGTCCAAACAGCAGATTTCATGCAGTTGAACTTTTGGCAAAGTTCCAGCGGGAGTCTCATTGAAATGTGGGTCTGTAAGAGACAGATAATTTAATAAGTAAAAGAAAAACACCCAGAAGTAATGATAAAACAAGCCTTTCTTGGTCTTTAAGAAGGGAAAAGTAAGGAAAACGCATATTTAAGTGAGCATTTACCTCGCAAAAAAGTATATCTTCTTCCAGTTAAATACGGCAGTACCCATGTGCTACGTGCTATTCCTGAATGCTTCAATTTTTTTAATTGAATCAACTTCCGGTCCTGACACTGCAAGAGACCACATTGTGCAAGTCTGCAGCCAGACCCGTCTCACGTTGACTGATGCTATCAAAGCTCAGTTTTCATTTAGAGCAGGGGTGTCAAAGTGGTTCCAGAAGGGGCCGTGTGGCTGCAGGTTTTCTTTCCAGCCAAGCAATAGCACACCAGACTCCAGTCATCTAGTCAAAGGAGTCCAATCTGAACATGATGACTTGATGAGATGAATGGAGTCTGGTGTGCTATTGCTTGGTTGGAAACCTGCAGCCACACGGCCCTTTCTGGAACCACTTTGACACCTGTGATTTAGAGGATTTTCTGCTTTCAGCTGATATAAAAGATTGCATTTAAGATGAGAAGACAACATTAAACCAATAACATTTTATACAGGGATGTACTCTATGAACTAGAAGTAGCTGGGGAGGGGGGGGGGGGGGGGTTGGGGTACATTATACAACAGCAGCAGGTCAGTCCATTCTCAGTGTAGAGATCAGTGATGTAAAAAGTGATAAAAATACAAAGAAAACGTTCTTCCAAAAGGCCTTGGGCTTATTTCAAATGCAAACGGTTACAGAAACAGAAGGGAAAGCAAGAAAAAAAAAAGAAGAAATAGTGAATATTGGAGGATGTGTTGGAAAATTCAAATAGAGAAATAATTGTAGGAGAGAAAGAAGGATATTCCATCTGTAGAACAGCTGAAAATGCTGGATTAATAACCTACAAAATTTAATTAATATTGATGATAGAAGATATTTTAACTCTGAAAAAGGAACCTCACCAGGATGCTAATTCTAATTTAACAAACCATGATCATAAAGTCTCCCTTTGATAAAATAAAATGGTGTAATACAGTTAACTGGTAACCAGTTCAGTCTTCCACAGCATCCAGTCTTTGTTTAATGACAGCCAAGTCTACGAAGGACACAGGATTATTAATTACACATAGAAGCAGTTCTGATCAAATCTGTGGTCTGGAGGTAGATTTATTTTTTTAGATATCAGGGACCGAAAGCAATGAACTGGACACTTATAATATTTACGGTATAGATATAAATATAAATAGATATAAAAAGATCTAGTTGTACGTACTCTTCATTGTTAGCAGCTGGGGTTTATTGCGATGGTATGATGGTAAACCATAAAGCACTGTTAGATAATCCTGATAAAGATGTCTGCTCCGTTCAGGGGTTCAATCTAAAAATCTGCACAGTAGTTTTGGGCCTAGCTTGATGACCGTCCATTCATTCAGATTAAAGCATTAGTGGTTAGAAAAATCCTGGATCTAATAAGCTTCTGGGACAAAGATGAAACCATCTTATCTTTAATCTTTTCTGTCCCTTCACCTACAGACACAGCGCCAATTTGAACCTGCATCACAAGCTGCTGACCAAAGACTCACTGAGACCAGCCACCCCCCCCTGCTCGCCATCATCCCACTGCAGAGACCCTGAGGGCCTGGAGCCGTGCCACAACCAGCAGGACAAGGACCTGCTGCACCAAGACCCAATTAGTCAGACCTCCGTCATCTTCCGAGGACACAGCCGCATGGGGCTGGTGTTTCCTATGAGCAAGGCACCTGCTGCCCTCAGCAGCACGGAGACTTTATCCACAGCAGAGATGGAGGGGTTAGGGGGAGACTACGGAGGTGGAGATGGGAATGAAGGGGCAGTCCTCGACCTGAGCACCTCCGCTCTACCTCAGTCGTCCTGGGACTCAGACGGAGCTGAGAGTGATGAACGGGAGGCGGGTGAAGAAGATGAGGAGGTCCTCCCCACAGAGGAAAGCGATGAAAGCTGCGATGGGACGGGTTCTGGGAGGCCAGAGACCGAGGAGCTGGCCCCCGGCGGACACAGGAACCAAGGCTGTAGCAGGAGCGCACAGAACCGCCTCCAGGGGGCGGGCTCTCCCATAACATGCCACATCTGCCGAAAGGTGTACAGCAACAAAGGGACGTTCAGAGCTCATTACAAGACCGTCCATCTACGACTTTTGCACAAGTGTAAGGTCCCTGGCTGTGAGACGTCCTTCTCTTCTGTGCGCAGCAGGAACAGACACAGTCAGAACCCCAACCTGCACAAGAACCTGTGTGTTGGCTCAGGAACAGCCTCCCCGCACGAGTAAACTGGCAGCAAACTGGGAATGTTTCTCCTCATTTTATGGCGAGGGGATGGAGGGAAGGCTCCCCCATTAGCACTTTTTAAATTAACAAAATATGAACCGTCTGTTTGGAGAAATCAGGAGAAGAGAACGGATTCAGTTAGAAGTTCCTTTAAAAATTACATTCCTGTGCGTGTTTCCTCCTAAAACCCTGAGTACAATCATTGTGCCAGACCCCTGTGTCTTTCAGGTCTCACCTCTATGTGTCGTTTCCTTCATCAGAGCTGTGTTTAAGAGGGCGTCATTGTTTAAAGGTTGTAGTGTTGTGACCATTTTTGCTGTTCGCTGATAGATCTGCGAGGTCTGTGCTCTATCCTGCCAAAATCAACCAAAGACTTCCCTCCCTTCCTTGGTGGGTGTTAAGCCCCTTCACATGGTCGGAGGGATATGCAGTATTCAGGGGCTCAACAGGGTCTTCTCAAATAAAGTGTGGCCATCGCTGTGAGACAGCAAATCATTGAAACTAAAGGCCAGCCGGGTGGCTGAGGCTTCCACCAGCTCTCTGTTGGTCTAGTATGGGTTACGTTGGGCGGTGGGGTGATTGAGCAGATGATCCGAATGAAAAGCCAGATGAACGTACTGTGAACGGGTCAAACACTGAAAATCCAAACGGGGACCTGCAGCTGATTATCGGCCCCACAAAGACTATAAACAAAGCCAACCGTGGAGCAATCTTTTTACAAATGGATCTTCTGTGAATAGTCGTTTGTTGTCTAAAGGAAGTCAGTAAATGTAAGATTTCATCACTGGAAGCTGAATAAAAAACATGAACACTGTGTTGTTTTGCTGCATCACACACTTTTGTATTCTGTATTTAAAATTCAAAGGGCCATTCTTCTCTTTAAAAAAATGAGAGCAAAGCTGATACTTGTTCATAGATATTTCTTTGGAATTATTGTTACCATGTTTGTTTTCATTTAAATAAAGAGCCATATGTTTGGAGGACTCCTAATCTTTTCTATCCATCAGGTGCTAATCAGCATTCCTTGACGCACCGACAAATGAACAAAACTGCATCTTGGCTCACTGAGCACCATGTTCTTCTAAATAAAGTCTGGGTCTGTGTGAACAGAACAGATGTGGTCTTGCTTTATGAAGCTGACTAGTCAGTCACTTCATTTGGATGGGATTACATTTATCTCAGATAATAAAGTGAAAACTCTTGGTGTGATTTTTGATCAGGACCTGTCATTTAAAACCCATATGACAGAGGTTTCTAGAATTTCCTTCTTTTATCTGCGAAATACTGCAAAAAATTTGAAATAGAATATTAATAGTAATAATAATACATTTTATGTGTAATACACTTTACATTTTAAATAAAATTCAAATTGCTACAGGTAAAATCATCATAGAAGGGTAAAATCAGAATAGAATTCAATTTCATTGTTAATAGCCAGTCATAAGTACAAACCAACGAAATGCACTCTCTGCATTTAACCCATCCCCTTGGAGAGCTGTGGGCTGCCTTTGTGTGGCGCCCGGGGAGCAGTGTGGGGGTTAAGGGTCCTGTTCAGGGTTGATGCTGATAAACTACAGTAGTCCATGCACTTGTTACTTCACGGCTGGACTATTGTAATTCTTTACTATCAGGCGGTACGTTCGCCTTGTACTGCAGCACCTCCTAGAGAACAAGTTATTTGTTAAGCCAGAGAAATGTGTATTCCAGCAGCCATCAGTCAGTTTCCTAGGTTACATTGTTCCCAAGGGTCAATTTCAGCCAGACCCAGACAAGATAAGAGCTGTGGCAGATTGGCCTGCCCCCACCTCACGCAAACAACTGCAGTGCTTCCTTGGGTTTGCCAACTTCTATCACAGGTTCATTCGGGACTATAGCAAAGAAGCTACCCCTCTTACCAAACTCACCTCCCCTAAAATTCCATTCTCATGGCCAGCTGAGGCCGAGCATGCCTTTCAGAGACTGAAGTACCTGTTTACCTCTGCTCCTGTGCTCCTCCACCCTGACTCTTCTAGACAGTTTGTGCTATAGGTGGATGCGTCTGAGTCGGGAGTGGGTGCCGTCCTATCTCAGTGCCATCCAGAGACTCACAAGCTTCACCCCTGTGCCTTCTTCTCCAAGCGACTATCTGCAGCAGAACAGAACTATGAGGTTGGGAATCGTGAGCTGTTGGCTATAGTGCTAGTCTTATAGGAGTGGAGACACTGGTTGGAAGGATCCAAACACCCATTCTTCATCTGGACAGATCATACAAATCTGGCTTATCTTCATTCTGCAAAACATCTAAATTCACGGCAGGCTCACTGGTCCATGTTCCTTAGTTGCTTCAACTTCACACTCTCATACCGCCCAGGCTCCCGCAACACCAAGGCTGATGTTCTCTCACGTCAGTTTTCCCAAGATTCAGCTTCTTCTGAGCCTGTGCCAATTCTGCCGCCCTCCTGTTTTGTGGGAGCAGCACCATGGGAGATCGAGTCCATAGTTCCGGCAACTCAACAAACCTCGCCTGATCCTGGTAGAGGCCCAGCTAATCGCCTGTTTGTCCCTGAAACGGTTCACAGTGGGGACATACCTTCACACTCACCTGCCATCCTGGTTTTCAACGTACCCTTTTTTTCCTCCAGCAGAGTTTCTGGTGGCCTGGCATGACTCGGGACACAAGAGAGTTTGTGGTGGCCTGTACCGTCTGCGCCCGTAGTAAGGCTTCTCACGCTCCACCTGCTGGTTTTCTACAGCCTCTCCCTGTACCCGGCCACCCATGGTCACACATAGCTGTGGATTTCATCACTGGTCTACCACCTTCTAGAGGTTACACTGTCATCCTCACAATTGTTGACCGTTTCTCAAACTCTGTTCATTTTGTCCCTCTCCCCAAGTTACCCACTGCCCTTGAGACAGCAGACTTCCTGGTTTCACATGTTTTTAGGATTCATTGGATTCCTGTGGATATAGTTTCTGACCGAGGCTCCCAGTTTTCCTCTCAAGTGTGGCCACAAGTTTGTTGTCTGGGTACCACACACAATCCAACGGCCAGACAGAGCGGGCTAATCAGGATTTAGGGGCAGCCCTCCAGTGTGTCTCAGCCAGGCATCCCTCCTCATGGAGCCTTCAGCTGCCCTGGATTGAATATGCCCACAACTCCCTAGTCAGCTCCCCCATGTACCAACCTGGTCAAAAAGGTGTGGTTGTCTACACGGGACCTCCCCCTACAGGTGGAGTCATGGAAGCTCGCCCCCATTACATTGGCCCGTTTGAGGTGAAAAAGTAATCAATCCATCTGCTGTTAGATTGAAATTGCATGGTTTCCAGTATCTCGTGGACTGGGAGGGGTACGGTCGGAGGAGTGATCTTGGATTTCCCGTCGGCTCATTATCAGTCAGCAGTTGTTGGATGACTTCTACCGGTAGTTTCCTGACAAGCTCAAATACGCTTTTAGAAATTCTAGGATCCACTAGTAAAC